AAATAGCAATTGTTGTACTAGGCGTGTTAGGCGTTGATCAGCAAGCCAGCTCAGAGATCAGAGTATTGGTGAAGGCAGAGAAAAAAAGAAAAACATTTAGCACAAACTTAACTTTTTTTGTTTGAGTACCAAATGTGTCTAATGACCCAATCGTCTTTCTCCTCATTTTCTGGTGCATCCTGATACATGAAGAAGAAAAAATACCTGGTGGAGATTAGTTAGTGAAGATCAGGTGTCAGTGCTGTTCACTAGTCCGATTGCTCAATGCCAGCACTCTGCAGGTGGTAAGATTGTCAGTGATTTTCGGTGAGAGACCATAAGTGAGCTCACGTCTTTCGGTGGCCAGTGCTGCTGCTGTTGCTGCTGACTATGCGGGCAGTGGTAATTTCATACTAGTTTCTCTCCTCATCTCTCATCTCTGGTCTTGTCGTCGTTACCGTCGAATTGTCGACTAAAGCTGTTTTTACTGTTGCCACTGTTCTTTCTCTTCGTACTGTTACACCTAGCACTGCAGAGGCGCTCTCTTCGCTCCGTATTGGCCGACACTGGCCGAAAGCGATTTCTAGGTTAGTAGACGATGACAGGCCAAAAAGAGGTCCAAGCACTTGTTTGCTTTGCTCGTGGAGAAGACGAAGGCGAAAAGAAGGCGAGAAAGCAGCAACAAGAAGAGAAGGAGAGAGAAGCGCAGCAAAGAGCAGATGAGAGCACTGGTTTCCACCTCTTCGAAGTGAAGCACTCTCGCGCGCGTTGGAGCACTGCAAAGAGAGTGGCATTTAAAAATAACGGACCACTGCAATGGCCAGACCAGATTGAGAATGACTGCCGCCGCCGACGAACTGTTGTTGCTGCTGCCTCGGTACTTGCTGTGTTCGCTGCTTCGCTGAACGATGTGAACGACCAGAGCCACTCTCTGCCGAACACTGCTGTCTCACTGCTGTGACTGTACACTGCTAACACACCACTGCAGCACCTCCGTCACCAGTAGACCATCATCATCGCCTGGAGCCTTTTTCAGGACGTACCACAGCAAATGCACCCCAGCAGAGTCTTCTCTCGTCTCTGCCTACCACCTCCCACCTCTGGACCCTCCACCAGTTTGTCANCATCATCATCGCCTGGAGCCTTTTTCAGGACGTACCACAGCAAATGCACCACAGCAGAGTCTTCTCTCGTCTCTGCCTACCACTTCCCACCTCTGGACCCTCCACCAGTTTGTCGACCACCTCCTCGCTTGACAGCACCATCATCTGATTGTAGAATGCCAGAGGACAGCACCAGGCAGGAGTACGACAACCACCACTTCACCTCCAGCCACCCTCAGCAGACCGTCCGCATCGTCGCCCTTGTGTCCTTTCCCCTGTATAGCGCCAGTGCACTGTAGGCCTGCCACCTGCCCCCGCCGCTCAGCGTCCCCGATGCAGCAGTCGCCGCGGCCTCGTGTCGAAGAGGATGCTCTATGCCTTGTTGCTCATCCAAGTGGCCACTCTGATCGTCGTGAGGACAGTCGATCCACCGCAGCAACCGCACCACCACCACCTCCTATACGGACGCCTTCACTTTGCCCCTGAGCACCGGCGCATCCCAGCGCAAGTGGCCCTCTCCAAGCAGGCTAACCACAGTAGTACTGCGCTCTCGCTGCGATTTCGGGCACTCCCACTGCCGCCGCCGCCACCACCATCACCTCCAGCACTACCTCCGCCGGTGTCGCAGCCGCTGCCCTATCACTTTGGCTTTCACATCACATCAGCCGCCTCCGACCCTGGCAGCGCTTCCTCCACCCGTCGGCAGCTGATCGTGTCGCAGCCTTCAGTTCGCTACCTGCCCCGTCTGCGGAGTACCAAGGCAGTGCTGCTGAGGTCAGCTGCCGTACAGCTGCGACATAGTCCGGGAGTTGCTGCGGCTGCATCAACACCGAGAGTTTCCGTCTCCTCACTGTCGCCGTACCGCAACATCTCCGACAGTAGGCATCTCTACATTTCTTCGGAGAGCGAAGTCGACGAGAGGACAGCACCCGACAGTAAGTTTTCCTTTTTGTGCTGTTTTTACAGCTGTTTTCTCTGTGCCCCATGCTCATTGCAAACCTCTTTCTTTCCGCCCATCGCCAGTATCGGCTGGCTTCTTCTCGAAGGCTCTAGATAATGTGGTTCGCTTCCTACCCCCAATGCGCATCGGCCATCGCCAGAACCAGGGATGCGTCGGCGGTACGAAGTGCCAGTTTTTCGCCGTCTGCTGGATGTCGGGTGGCTCGCTGGGTGCCTCGTGTGGTCCCCTTTATACATGCTGCGTCACTCCAAGTAGTCAAGATATTCAGCCTCAGTATTGGGGACCAGTCATCAATGATCCACGTAAGCCAACGCCAACTTGAGGCTCCCTATCAACTTTCAACCTTTGTTTTTGTTCCCCTTTTCCTACAGAATGTGGAAAAAGTGCCACAAGAATTAGTCGAATTGTCGGAGGCTCGGACGCCTCATTTGGACAGTGGCCTTGGCAGGTAAGTTATCTTTTGCTGTTGCTAAATTGGCAATCGCTTTTTGTTTGTTTTGACACCTCGTTTGCCTGGGTTTGCATCGGGATTGGATCATGACATGGACGATGTTCATCAACCGCTGGACATCTGCAGACAGCGATCACTGACAGTCGACTGCTCGGATTTTTACGTGACTAGCTGAATGCTCGGTGAATGGCAACAAGTTGCCACTTGGCTGACTGACCGAGTGTAGTGCCTTTTTCGAAGAGCAGACGAGTTTGGCTTTTTTCGGAGTCATTCACCGTCGCCTTCACTTCAGACTGCAGACAGTGGTGGCCGTAGTGATGGTGGTGGTGGTGCTGTTGCCGCTGTCTCTCTGCCTCTGCCTCTCTCTCACTTTATGTGCACTCATTTGTTGCTTATTTTAGGATTTGCTTTATTTTGACCCAAATTTAGCCTGATCGCATGTGCAAACAAATTGGCAATTTAAATAGTAAAATCCGCTTCACGAACGTTTCCCCAGCAGCAGCGACAGCAGCAGCACTGGCACCACCATCACGCATGAATTGCCCTTACACTTACCCTCGCTCCCGAGCGCAGTACCTGTCGCCGACCCACTAACGTGCCATTTATCTTGTCTCCTTTTTCCTCCTCCTCGTTTTATCATAGGCCTTTGTCCAAGTTGGTGGCAGTCGATGTGGAGGAGCCCTGGTGGGTCCAGCACATGTGGTCACCGCTGGACACTGCGTCGCCAGGTAACTACTACTCACACTGCACAGTTTCTTTTATCACTTTTTTCTGTCCTTATCTTTCACTACATTTCCTCTGTTCTCACACGCTCACTAATCACACGCCGTTTTCTTCTTCTTTTCTTCATCTTTTTTGCGTTTCTTTTCTCTCGGTCGATTAAGGTCACAGCACAACCCCTCAAGCATTCGGGTAACTTTGGGCGATTACATCCTCCATTCGGAAATTGAGAGTCTGCCGCACGAAGTGTTCACAGTGGCCGAGGTCAAGTTGCATCCCAATTTTCGCTTCACACCGCAGGCAGATCGCTACGATGTGGCCGTACTGGTGCTCGACCGTTCGGTGCAGTACCGCGAGAACATCATGCCCATCTGCCTGCCGCCCAAGGGCACCATCTACCTCGGACGGATGGCTTACGTCGCCGGCTGGGGGGCTCTTCAGGCAGGTAGGCACAGTCACTGTCCGCTGTCTTTAGCACAGCCATTCGAATGACTATATTTACTACAAACAACCCTCCTTTAGGCTCCAAGCTGCGACCGAAGGTGCTCCAGCATGTACCCGTTCCTGTGATTGATAATCCTATCTGTGAGAGCTGGCATAAGCAGCGCGGCATCAACATTAAGATATTTGGTGAGTTGGCTACAACCGAACTGTTGTATTGAATTTTCTTCTCACTGTCTGCTTTAACTTCCGTTTTAACAGAGGAAATGAGCTGTGCTGGATATCAGACCGGAGGAAAGGATGCTTGTCAGGTAAAGCATTAAAGCACTTTGAAGTGACCATTTTTGGTCACTGAGAGTCCCAGTGTTTTTTTCTGTCCTCCACTACAAACTTCATTTGTTTTCTTTAGGGTGATAGCGGTGGTCCGTTGATGCTGAATGAGTTCGGCGTGTGGTACCTCATCGGGGTCGTGTCTGCGGGCTACTCCTGTGCCAAACAGTACCAGCCGGGCATATACCACCGAGTGAGCAGCTCCTCAGACTGGATCTCCTCTAATGTCTTCCCGTCTGCACACTTTCGCACACCTCCGTAGGGATGCAGAGATGGAGTCTGTCGACAGTAACCGATCGTCTCGATTAGTCACGCGCAACACTGTAAATAGCAACGAAACCTGTTGATTTGGCGACGACTCTGCCTGCCCAGTCTCTCTCGCTCTTTTCCCCTTCTCTCTTTCTCTCTTTCCGTCTGTCCGTCTGTCTGCTGGCAGCGTACCATGTGTAAAAAGCATCGATTTAATTTAAAAACTGTCCTCTCTTAATTGCACATACAAACACATCTTGTTCGGTTATTTATTGCTCTGCACCTTCCACCTTCCACTACCACCAATGTGATCGCCCATTGTGAATGCTCGGTTGGCCTGTACACACTCTACACTTCCACTCCGTTTTTTCATTTGCTCCCATTAAACTTGCTTTACTGCCTCTGTGGATCGGATTACACAGTCTTTTTTGGCCATTTACCCGGCTAGATTGATAGATTTTTCATTACTGTAATTCTCAATTCGATTTTGGCGGGTTTTGTTCTCTTCACTAATAGTAGTTCTATTCATTTTCTGTATAAAACAGCTAAATTCGCTTTATAAACGATTGGGTTTTGCTTTTCGTAGTTTTACCACCATTATACCATTACACCTTCAACAATGACTAATACGCCTAGTTCAACAAGTTCGTTCAGTTTGAGACTAGACAAACCTTTGACGAGTAGTAGCTTTGACCGTTGGCTTCAAATTGAGTACCTTCCATCTGATTTCAAGCACAATGAAAACAATGGACAAGATCATGCTCGCAGGAAATGGTACAAACGCATAAAGTTTGATCTAAATGAGTTTTTGCACCTTTTTTCCATTGCAATCCTCATTATCTGGATCTCATCAGTACTCATTTTTGGCATTTACCTTAGCGGTCCCTGTTCTCCACTGATGTACCACAGAGACCAACAGCTGGCCAAAAAGGTTGAAGAATCAACTGCCTACAGAGCAATCAACAATTCACTTGCCTCAAGTAATACGTCAATCCGATTCTTCTCACCACTTGCTTCCGGCCTCTATCGTGCTCACCAAATCTTTTTGAAGCGTTTAGCTCAAAACAAAAAAAGTAATTACAATGAAATTGAGGAGAATCTGCCGAGCTGCATCATCATGACCGCCTATGCCATTAGCAACTTCAGTTTGTCCTCTCTTCTGCTGTTTCACCTCTTTTTCTACATTTTTCACATTGTCGAGTTTTCATTCATCTTTCCTTGGTTTGCCATTGAGATTGCCTACTCGTCAGTTTTTGTGATACTTACTTTTATCTTTGACGTGGTGCTCTGCATCATCTCTCCCGTCCGCACTACTGAGCTGATTGTAACTCTGGGCAACCTTCAGTTTGTTTTTGGACTTATTTTCTGTAAGTTTCATTTCCTCCACGCGGATGGCAGAGGCC